TGCAGAACCTAAATTTCCTTGATGAAATCCACTATTGGCATTTCTTTGCAGGATTGACCTGCTCTGTGTGAAACTACTGTCCTTGTGACTGATGCTTCCCAGGGCTCTGACAATGGGAATCATCTTTGCCTCTCACACAGGAGTCAGGATCCTAGCAAACATCCTGCTCCTTCTTTGTTATGGTCTCCTTTCCTGCACTGGATGGCTGACAAAGCACATGGATTGGATTCTCCATAACCTAATTTTAGACAATTGTTTGGTCTTTCTCTGGAATGGATTTCTCAGACAATGGCAACTTTTGGGCTGGAGTATTTTATGGATGGTTTGTGGTGCTAACTAGTTTTCTGTGTTCATAGAGTGACCAGAGGGTGCTCCCCTGAGACTACAGTCACTCACAACATCCTGATCCTAGTGAGCACCTTTTTCTCTTTTTATGTGCTATCTTCCTTCTTTCCTTCTATACGTCCCTCTTTGATAAAGCCAGTTGGTGGCTGATGAACATCACTGCCCTCATGGCTTCAAGTTTCCCATCTTATTCCCTTTCTGCTGATCAACAAAGACCCCCCTGTCTCTAGACTATGCTATGCAGCAGCAGAAAAATGAGTGATTTCTATAAATGAGTCAGAGCATGAAAATGTGCAATGCTGAATGTGTCCATGGAAAAACTCGTCCTTCCCTATCTTTAAGTGTTTACTGGCTAAGTAAGTTTGTGGACAGAAGCAGAAGCATAATAGCAGAGCTTGATCACAGACTTACTTTAACAGTCAGATATGAAACAAGGGAGGATTCCTCACTTCCACTTGCAGAACATAACAAGGTATGTTTATCTTAGTCATTGTCCTCACATGTCCTTTCTGCCTTATGAGTCTTGTTAAATCTCTCATCTATGATTATCTTCCTGGACTCTTTATTGAGACATTGTGATAACAAAGTCTACTCTCAGGTTTACTTAATTGACGAAATACATGAAATGAACTCCTAAAGATATGTCTAGCTAGTATAGGAATTGCAAAAAAAACTTCAGTGGGAAGAATGCTGTCTTTATGTCTCAAAGGACAATTCTGCCTCAGCCAACTGGAAAAACCCAGAGGGGAAATAAGCAAAGCGTCTCAGGGTGTCACTCGTGCCATCCTTGCAGACAGGGTCTTTCTAAATGAGGCTGTGCACAGCAGATTCCACTGTGACTGAAGAGCATACAGCTCAGAAAGGTTCTTTTGGACAAAGTAGAGCAGAACATGTTGCCACAGAAGGCTGGAACTTTTTCTCTGCTTATAAGAAGCTCATGGGCAAAAGATGTTCATTTTGAATTCCTGAAGTTTCACGGTAGCCAGAAATAAGTAAATATAATATCATTCACATTTTACAAAGATGTAGAAAATGTTAATAACCCTTAAAGCTCTTATGAGGCACTAGTTTATGTATCCAGAGATAGATGAGGCAGGCATAATGAAAGGAAGGCATGTTGTAACACATGAAAAAGAAGAGATGAGAAGGACAGATGAGATAAGGGCATTAAGGTGTAGGGAGTGAGAGAAGGAACCCAAGCACAGGGCCCGGTTTTGTTTCTAGCCAACCTGAGGGTTTTGTCTCCCGTTTCTGATTACATGAACCTCTCAGAACTATGCACAGTTGCAGCCTTGAGGAATGATGAAAATGAGGGGCACGATCAAAGAGAACTGCCAGCATGTTAGTCATGAATCAGGACAAAGTCAACAAACTGCTATTGAGGGCTGGCATTGTGGTGCAGCTGGTAAGACTTTGCCTGGGACTCTGGCATCCCCTACAGAGGCACCGGTTGGAGTCTGGGCTCCTCTGCTTCCAATCCAGCTTCCTGTTAAAGTGCCTAAGAAAGCACAAGATGGCCCAAGAACTTGGTTCCTTGACACCATGTGGGAGACTGGATGGGGTTCCAGGACCTGGATTCATGCTGTCCTGCCACAGCCATTTCTGCCATGTGCAAAGTAAACGGCAGATGGAAGTTACCTTTGTGTCTGAGTCTCTTCCTCTCTCTGTTATTCTGCCTTTCAAATAAATAAATGATTTTAAGAAAACACACAGAAACCTTCATTCACTGTTTCAATAAACCTATGTTAAGTACAGTGGGCCTGTCTTATCAAGGAATTAGGAACCCTCCCAAATCAAGTTTCTAGGTGGAAACCAACAGAAATTTGTTTTTTGTTTTTTGTTTTTTTTAAAAAAGCCTTTCAAAGAATAGCTATGTTAACTGTTTTCTTTTTCTTTCTTTTTTTTTTTTTTTTTTGCCAGGCAGTTAGATAGTGAGACAGAGACAGAGAGAGTTATAGACAGTGAGAAAGTAACAGAAAGAAAGGTCTTCCTTCTGTTGGTTCACTCCCCTAATGTCCACTATGACCGGCGCTATGCCGGTCCGAAGCTAGGAGCGGGCTTCTTCCTCCCTGTCCCCCATGCTGGTACAGGGACCCAAGCACTTGGCCATCCTCTGCTGCCCTCCTGGGCCACAACAAAGAGCTGAACTGGAAGAGGAACAACTGGACAGAACCGGAACCCAAAACAGGACTAGAACCCAGAGTACCGGCACCACAGGTGGAGGATTAACCTAGTCAGCCACGGCGCTGACCATGTTAACTGTTTTCTGTACCCTCCCCATAAATCAGAACCTGATTTACATCAGCTCCTTCACAAACTGCTATCTTTTGTTAAGAGATTGAGCATCTTTTTGTTATGTCTGTTGTTTTTTGTGATAGCATTTCTGAATTTGCACAATAATCTCATAACAATTATTTTTAATATTATACAATTTAGCTAATAAGATGCATAGGTATAAAGTAACAAGCTATGTAGAAAGAATCGATTTCCTAATGGGTGTAGAGACTAAAGGATTGGTATTATTCTCTGAAGGACTGTGGCCTCAATCTGAACAGGATTTTATTTTTTATAATGTACCTGCCTATCTAAAGATTTTGTTTATCCTGCTTACAGTCTGTTGAGCAATGGGTTTTGTTGAAGTGGCATGTTTCTTCCCTATGCTTAGCACATTTGCCATCTGTTCATATATTTCCACTTCCAAGTTCTTTCCTTTTTCACTTCTGTGCACTTTAATCAATTTTATGGTAGTGCTTGAGAGAAATTATTGTGTGTTTTATTTGATGGCTAAATTATTGTCTGCATTCTGTCTCTCCCTTCTCCTTTTCCTATCAAGAGGTCACTCATTCCCAGGGATTTCTCCCTTCTGTTCCAGACAGAGTATTCTTAGCTTGGCGGGAAAAAAGTTTATAGTCATGAAATGCAATAGTAACTTCAAAACTAAAAATATTCATCCTAGAATCTTCTGCTGCCTTGAAGCTCTTTCTTAGTTTTGCAGCTGGTTCTACACTTTCCCAGTCTTCCTTCCTCCTTACCTACCAATGGTTTATTTTCTGGTTCTGTTGTAAGATCCTATTTCTTTGTCCACATCAAGAATAAGAACATTTCTCTAAATTATCTCTTCTAGGTTTTGCTGCCTCCCCACAACACATCCTCTGTCATCACTGGGCCATCTTTCCTGTAAAAGACAAATTTTGGAGATCACATCTCCATCCTGGATACTAGGCTCTGAAGAAAATGACTGTGTACCAGGATAGTGAGGTTGGATTGCTGAAAACATTATACTTCTTGACAAAGGTGACACTGGAGTGCTAACGTGAGCTTCTGCACATAGAGGGACGATGCGTGCTAAGGCAGATAAGAAAGTCCATGTTTATTTCTCAGTCTGATTGTCCATGAGAGCATTTCAGACCTGGAAAGCCCAAACACTGTGGTAAAAAATGTTCTACATGAAGGATCTCTGTGAGTGAGACCCCAGCAGAAAGAAGTGGCCATCAAAGAAGGATGTGCTTTTCTCTAAAGGAGGAGAGAACTTCCACTTTGCTTATGGCCTTGTCTAAATACTGACAGAGTTTGTGCACTCCAAAGGCTTTCACAGCCTAGGCAGCTCTTGTCAAGACCCTCGAGTAGTCACTGACATCATACATAAAAGAGTGTTAATTGTTAAATTAACAACACTGTGTATGAACTGCCCATGCAGGACATCTGTCCTCAACAAGTTATATTTATGAGAGCTAACTGTAAAAATAGTTCACACTTTTTGTGTGTTTGTTGTATATGTGTGTGCACATTGGTGTAATCTTTACTTAGTATAGAGTTGATCTTCTGTGTGCAAAGTTAATTAAAAATGAATCTTAATGGAGAACCTGACTGGGAAGGGGAAAGAGAGGAGGAGAAGCGTGGGAGAAGGGGTGGGAGGGTGGGTTGGTGTTAAGAATAACTATATTCCTAAAATTGTACCTATGAAATTTGTAACCTTAAAGAGCAAATTAATTAAAAAATAAATTTAGTGTTACTTATGATACTAAATTTTGAATTACTCCTCTACATATAAAATGAAGATACTAGGATTCCATACAAATGAAATCATTTAATGTTTTTTCTTCATAATATTTTATGTTTTAGTTGGCATGAGCTATTCATGCTTTCAATATTTGCTTTCAAATATTTGCTGTGAGAGTATCATTGTACCTTTGGGGCCAATGAAATAAGAGAGAATCTTTGGCTTCACTGTTCTAACATACCACTGCAATTAGAATATATAATTAAATGTGATAAATAATTATTTGGTCACCAATATTGTAACTTGAATTTCTGCACTTTCATACAAATACCAGAATAATTGGTTAGTTGGCAAAGGAACATTTAACCAAAACACCACAAATAGACAAGAAAACAATATATCATATAGGAACAAGGTGAATATGGATGAAAAGTCTTAGAAAAATCTGAAATAGCCATGTGAGAAGATATACTCAACCAGCATCCCAATGTCTCTCAAGAAAATACAAAGAATGTATTCTTCTAGAAGGCATTACTGAGTGCGAAAAAAATGGATAGAAGTAAGAAATGAACTTAAGCTTCCTTGATGAACTACATTAGCTCCATTTCTTTCTAGGACTCACTGGCTTTGTGTGAACTACTGCCCTTGTGACTGCATGCCATCCAGGGCTCTGACCATGGGAATCATCTTTGTCTCTCAGACAGGAGTCGGATTCCTAGGAAACATCCTGCTCCTTCTCTGCTATGGCTTCCTTTCCTGCACTGGACGAGGGATAAAGCACATGGATTTGATTCTCCATAACCTAATTGTAGCCAACTGCTTGGTTCTGCTCGCGAGAGGCATTCCTCAGACCATGGCAGCTTTTGGGCTGAAATATTTCATGGACGATTTTGGATGCAAACTAGTTTTCTATGTTCACAGAGTGGCCAGAGGGGCGTCTCTGAGTGCAACTTCTCTCCTGAGTGGCTTCCAGGCCATCACAATCAGCCTTAGCAGCCCCCAGTGGATGCAGCTCAAGGTCAAAGCCCTCAAATCCATTCGACTTTCCATTCTGCTCTGCTGGACCCTTCACCTGTTGGTGAATAGTATTGTTCCTATGTATATTACAGCAATGAGGGAGAGCAGCAACCACACAGAGAAAAAAGACTTAGGGTTCTGCTCTGGCGTAATTATTGACAGAAATATATCCTTATTGCATTCAGTGATGTTTTCCTTCACTGACGTGTTGTATTTGGTGTTGATGATTTGGGCCAGTGGCTGCATGTTGATCATTTTGTACAGACATAAGCAGAAGGTCCTACACATTCACAGCAAAAGCCTCACTCCCAAATGCTCCCCGGAGACAAGAGCCACCCACAGCATCCTGATCCTAGTGAGCACATTTTTCTGTTGTTATGCACTGTCTTCCTTCTTTACTTTCTATATGTCCCTCTTTGATAAACCCAGCTGGTGGCTGGTGAATACCTGTGCCCTTATGGGTTCATCTTTCCCCTGTGTTAGCCCCTTTGTGCTCATCAGCAGAGACCCCCGTGTCTCCAGGCTGTGGTATACCCACGGCACAAAGATCAGTGATCTCTATAAGTGGGTCAGAGCATGAAAATGCTAGAGGGCCAGTGCTGTGGCACAGCAGGTAAAGCCACCTGCAGTGCCTGCACCCATATGGGCACCAGTTAGAGTCCTGGCTGCTCCACTTCCGATCCAGCTCTCTGCTATGGCCTGGGAAAGCAGTGGAAGAAAACCAAGTCCTTGGGCCCTGCAACCACATGGGAGACCTGAAGGAAGCTCCTGACCTGCGGCTTCGGATCAGCACAGCTCTGGCCTTGTGGCCAACTGGGGAGTGAACCAGCGGATGGAAAAACTCTCTGTCTCAGTCTCTCTCTCTCTTTCTCTCTCCCTCTTTTCTTCTCCTTCTCTGTGTGTAACTCTGACTTTCAAGTAAATAAATGGATCTTTACCAAAAAAAAGAGAGAAATGTTCGAGACTGAATATTGTCCATTTATCAATTCATCCATATATATATATATACACACACATACATATATATACATATATACATATATATAATATAGCAATTATTATGGCTGGACCGAATCAGAAACAAGATAGAAAGACTGAACTTGATCACAAAATTATTTGTCACTTAGGAAATAGCCCAGCATAAATCATGGAAGGGTTTCTTATTTCTGCTCTGCAGTGCTCACATGTAATAAGGGGCATAGTAGAATTGGGTGCTTTTCTCTCAGTCTTTGTCCTTATGTGCCCTTTCCTCCTTACAAGGCCTACTAAATCTTCCCTTAGCTCTGCTATCCTTTAAAAATCTGTACTTGAGACATTATGATAATAAAGTCTACTCTCAGTTTTATTTATTTGATTTAATACATAAAATGAACTCCTAGTCTCCATATTTTCCTTGAGATCACTATATGTCAAAAATATGCTGGAGTCTAAAGTCAGCTGATGTGTGTGTCAGGTGTACTTCCTGCCTTACAGGAGCTTACACTTTGGACTGTGGAGATACACAAAGAAAGAGCTGTTGTGTGATGAGAACTCCAGAAGAGGAGACCCCAGGGTGCTCCATGGAGGTAAGAGACTGAATATGCAGCCAGAGGACAGCCATTCCGTACCCTAATATAGAACTCGGACTTGCAGCAACCCAGTTCAGCAAGCCAAATGACAGTCTCTGTAGCTACCAGCCTCACGTGGCCAAGATTTATCAATCACTAACTGCTGCCCTAATTGTATCCCCACTTCATACTTACTTCAGACCAACTGAAGAAAGCCAAACATGCCACCCTCACCGATCAGTTTCTCCCAGCTCCTTGTGACCCCACCTTTAATCAGCACAACATTTCCACTATGAAACATTCTGACTCCTCTGCCTGCTACTGGGTCTCTGCCAAATGCAAACCATCATGGCTGACTTCCTTGAATAAACAGCCAGTGCCTGTTCTCCATGGGGGTAAATTCCATAAGGTAGGGTGAGTACAGCTTGGGTCAGAAGGGAATAAAGAGTAAAAGACTTAGGGGTCAGTGCTGTGGCATGGCAGGTGAGGCTGCCACCTGTGGAGCCAGCATCCCAAATGGGCGCCAATGGGAGTCCCAGCTGCTCCACTTCCCATCCAGCTCTCTTTTATGGCCTGGGAAAGCAGTGGAAGATGGCCCAAGTCCCATCAGCAAGAGAGACCTGGAAGAAGCTCCTGGCTCCTGGCTTTGGATTGGCCCAGCTCTGGCCATAGTGGTCATCTGGGGAGTGAATCAGGGGATGGAAAAACTCTCTCACTCTCTCTCTCTCTCTGTTTCTGATAAATAAATAAATCTTAAAAAAAAAAAGAGTAAAGGACTTAAATGGGATACACACAAGGCACGGCAGGGAAAGAAAATAGCTTTATTGAGTGAAATAATGTGTGCAGATCCAGACAGGACGCAGCCTGGGGCTCACTGTTATTTTATGAGTCTCGTGGTGCACTGGATACAGAGCCTTGTGTCATCCATTCTCAGAGCATAAATCCCCACTGCCAGCCTCCTTCACTTAAACCCCGCCTAGACCCAACTGCTTTGACATCTTGTGATTCTAATAGCGTAAATCCTTCACATTCTCCCTCTGAATCAGACTCTTCTCATCTTCCGTCTGCTCCTTTCTGCTTCATAAATGTGGTAAATTATGTTCAATACACTCTTTTTTGGTTGTTGTTCAGTAAACTCTTACTTCAGCTTTTGCTATAATTTATACTTATTTCCCTCACCAAGTAAATTTCCAATTTTCTAGTTGCTTCATACCTACATTGAGGCAGCTTTGTGTGGTTCTAAAGTATCATCTAACTAGATATCACCTCATACCTATTAGCATGGTTACTATTTTTAAAAAAAAACATAAAATAACAAATGTTAACAAGAAGATGGAGTAACTGGAACCTACTGTGCACTATTGGTGGGAACATAAAATGGTTCAATGGCTATGGAAAACTGTGGCAGCTCCTTAAAAGCATCAAAATAGAATTTCCATTTGATTCAATGATTTCATATATATATGAATTCCATATATATTTCATATATATATATTTAGAATATATATATATATTTAGAATATATATATATATATATATATATCAAAGTACTGAAAAATTGAAAAGGTATTTAGGGGCCAGTGCTATGGCATAGCGGGTAAAGCTGCCGCCTGCAATACCGGCATCCCATATGGTGCCAGTTCGAGTTTCAGCTGCTCCACTTCTGAACCAGCTCTCTGCTATGGCCTGGGAAAGCAGTGGAAGATGGCCCAAGTCCTTGGGTCCCTGTACCTGCATGGGAGACCTGGAAGACGCTCCTGCCTCCTAGCTTCTGATCAGCTCACCTCTGGCCACTTTGGCCAACTGGGGAGTGAACCAGCGGTTGGAAGATCTCTCTCTCTGCCTCTCATTCTCTCTCTGTGTAACTCTGACTTTCAAAGAAATAAATAAATCTTAAAAAAAAGAAAAGGTATTTGTACACATATGCTCATTAGCAGAATTATTCACAATACATAAAATGTGGAAGCAATCCAAGAGCCCACTGATGGGTGAATGGGTAAATAAAATGTAATATATACATACAATGTAAAATAGTATGAAGATTCCAAAAATAAAAATAAAAATACTTCTATATGACCCAGCTATTCCAGTTCTTGGAATATATCCAAAGGAAATAAAGTTAACATATGAAAAGATATCTGTACTTCTGAGTTTACTGCAGCAGTATTCAAAATAGCAGACATGTGGAATCAACCCCAGATGCCCACCAATTCATAAATGAACAAAGAAAATGTGGTATATACACACAAGGGATTATTATTCATCCATAAAAACAATGAAATCCTGAAGCTGGCAACAAATGGATGGAATTGGAGTTCACAGTGCTGAGTGAAATAAGCCAGGCCCAGAAAAACTGGGCTGTGATCATCTCAAAGACGTCAGGATACATCCAGGTATTGGTGGTTCAATGACAACACATGTCTCAATAAAACACTTCTCACACTAAATGCACTTGTATGGCTTTGAGCCTGTGAAAACACTCCAGTGGTGTTTAAGGATTTGTACCTACAGAATCCCCCACAGGCACTGCAGTCATATGTCCTTTCTCTGCAGTGAATTTGCTGGTGCCGAGCTAGTATGTATTTGCAGCTGAAGGTCCCCACATCTGCTACATTTGCTACACTCAGCACTCTTTCTGTAGCAGACTTCATTGTGCAGAAGTTTGTGTCCGGTACTGAAGCTATTTTGCATTTACCTCATTGGTAATGATTTTTTTTTCCCTATGTTAAAAGACTCCTCACAGTTAATGCTACCGCATTGCTTCTCACTGCTGGGAGTGGCCTGGTTGTGCAGAAGGCTGAAGTGCCTGGAGTTATTTCAGACCTCCCCACAGGTAAAGGGCTGCCTTATCACACTGAACTCTGCAGCTCTTCACAAACGCAGCCCTGTCCATGTGCACTTGACAAGTTTCTCTCCACTATCACCCTGGAGCAGGGCAAGGTTTCACTAAACCAGAAGTCTCTTGATGCCTCACCTAAGTACAGGTTCTACCCAGAGGATTTTGCTTAGAGTACAGGCAACTGCAACATGTCTGTCATGGCTGTGACACGTGTGTGACACGTGTGCCAGGGGCCGAGGTCTGGTGGGTGGACCTGCCCTTGGAGTTCTGACCTGTGATGCTCCCTCTGCAGATTCTGTTGATGAAGGAGAGGCAGGTTTTGGTGGCAGGGAGACATACCACCAAAAATGTGGCCAACACCGAAGACTGCTCATGGGAATGCTTCTTGGACTCGGGAGCCAGCAGTCTGAGGACAGGGTCTCTAACGATCACAGCATGGATGAGGCCCCACTGGAAAAGGACACAGAAATGGTTCACCTTTCAGAGAGGAGAGCAGGTGTCCAGCTGCTTGTCTGCTGATATAATGAGTATGAGGCACAGAATTACTGGTAGCTAGACCCAGGGAAATCCAAAAGGACTCGGGTACCTGGATATGTGCCCAGCTCACAACACTGACGTAAAGGTTGATATTAGACAACACTGAAGAAGCTACTGGGGAGGCAGGAGTGATACAGGCCAGAAAGGTACAAGAGTGAGTTATTGAAAGCTACAGATGAAATATGGCAGTTCAGGAAAATGTCAAGCCACCCTGCAATGCTAGTTGTGCAACTACATGGGGCTGCCTGATACAAGCCCTAAGAGAAAAGAGTAGAGAGATAAGATGTGAGCAGGGCTCAAAGAACTTGGCACACAATAAACCACAGATAATAAAAATAAGACTACAATAATAAAATCTTGAAGGAAAACATTTCAAGAAAAGCTCTTAGGACATGTAAGTCATAACCAGAATGAACAACACCTGCGACTCCTGACATAGGTAAAAATGGAAATGTTAGCTGAAGTACAGTGGTCCCTCGGGTCTGGACAGAGGCATCTTGCCAGCGAGAGGGCCAGAAGGGTCCACCACACTGACTGCAAGCTTCCTGACGCTCGGATACTTTCCTGAACACATGGACCCAGCAGAGATGTTGGGACAGGGCTCAAAGCTTGTCACAGCACCCACAGACCTGTACCCTTCAGCACCGCATGCCCATTTCATTAGCAACCAATGTCCTGGTGAAGGCTGATTCCTGATGAGGGAACCAGAGACCATCCTCTCCTCCCTCTGTGACATGTGCCAGGAAAGTGGTGACTTGAGTAGAGCTCAGAGTCCCCCAGTGCTAAGGACAGTAAGGACTGCCTCTGGGACACAGGGAAAGACAGCAAAGGACACTGGGAGAAATATGAGTGGCTTCCAGGAGATGCTATCAGGGCCAAGTTCTCCAGCATCACAGTGTGGTACAGGAGTCTCCGAGTCTCAGCCAGCAGCTGCCGCTCCTCAGAGTTACATGGCCTTGCCATGATCAGGACATTCCATGGTCAGCTTCTTTCTTAAGAATGCCAGTGTTGGCCAGTGCCACGGCTCAATAGGCTAATCCTCCGCCTGCAGCGCCAGCACACCGGGTTCTAGTCCCGGTCGGGGCACCAGATTCTGTCCCAGTTGCTCCTTTTCAGTCCAGCTCTCTGCTCTGGCCCAGGAGTGCAGTGGAGGATGGCCCAAGTGCTTGGGTCCTGCACCCGCATGGGAGACCAGGAGAAGCACCTGGCTCCTGGCTTTGGATCAGCATGGTGTGCTGGCTGCAGCGCGCCAGCCGTGGCAGCCATTGGGGGGTGAACCAACAGAAAAAGGAAGATCTTCCTCTATGTCTCTCTCTCACTGTCCACTGTGCCTGTCAAAAAGAAAGAAAGAAAGAAAGAACCCCAGAGTTTACAGATGCTCATCCTTCCTTCCTCATTTTCTTCATGCCCATCTCCCCATCTCATAGGAGATACCAGGTCCCAGTGCCATGGGTGCCCACCCTGTCCTCATGGTCTCATTGATCACTGGGCCCTCCCACTACAACAACAGGCAGGTGGACAAATATTTAAGCCCAGAACCAGGCACACAAAGAAGCACCCCCTCTCACTAGGCAATTTTCCTGGAACACCACAGATTGTAATTCCTAGATACAACCAAGGGTCTGGGTTTATCTTCCATCCTTATGTTCTCAGTGACATAAAACCCTTGAACACCCCTTTCTCCACCCAGCACACCACTCTTTCTACCACACTTCCCTCACATAGCTGCATTCCTAGTCCCCCTCTCCACCATCCAAACTGGCGGCATCTCCATGGCTTCTGACATGTCACTTAGCACTACTCATCCACAGATGCTTGCAAATTCAAACAAGATTCAGGACTACCCAGAGCCATGATGGTCCCCACTGTCAGACACAGCCCTGAATCCAACTGTAAGGGTCTCTCTGCCTCACTCTGTTCCTTACTTTAACTTCCACAGTAAGAACCATCAGCAGATTTCAGAAACCCATTGTCCATTCTAACTTGTCATTCAATTATCACTATCTGCCTTCCTCTCCTCCTAACCCGAATCCACAACCTTGGCTGAATGACCCTCTACCCCACATATAGTGACCCTTTCAAATGACCACTTGTGCCCCTAATACAACCTACTCACCAGACACAACAAATATCGTGATAAAATCCCTACAGGTCTACAGAGCAGCAAATAAGATGATATCCTTGTGAGCCTCCACATCTATATCATGCTTGCTCATGGCTCAGAAGCTATGGACACCCACAAGGTCATCCTCTTTCCCACACTGTGCAATGGCCACTTCTCTTCTGTATCTGTATTTCTGACATCTACAGTGCTCATCCAGGTACCCAGCTATGATACAGTTGTGGCCTCCATCGCTCCCCTTCCTCACCTTCTAAGAACATTAATATCATTAATAGGAATCCCTCTACTGATTGTGACCCCATACTTTTATGAGCTGAATGTCTGTGTCCTCCTAAAGTTCATATATTGAAGCACTAACACAATAAAGTCCAATACAATGTGATAGTATTTAGAGCAAGTACCTTTGAATGATAAATTTAGAATAGGTCAAGAATGTGAAACCCTCGGACTGACAGTGTTGCAGTGAGTTAAGCTGCTGCTTGCAATGTCAACATCCCTCGCCAGAGTGTAGGTTTGAGTCCAGATGCTTTGCATCTGATCTGCTAATGGGCCTGAAAAATCAGGAGATGATCCAAGTACTTGGGCCTGTCACCCATGCAGGAGATCAGGATGGTGTTCCTGGCTCTTGGCTTCTGCTTAGACTAGCCCTGACGTTTGAGGAGTGAACCAGGAGATGGAAGATCAATTTCTCTCTCTCTCTCTCTCTTTCTCTCTCTCTTCCTCTCTCTCTCTCTGCCTTTCAAATAAATAAATAAAAAATATTTTAAAAAGAAAATGAGACCCTCATTATGGGATTAGCACCTTTTTAAGAAGAAAAAAAATCTTGCTCTATCCACAGGATCCCTCCCAGGAAAGACCATGTGAGTACGCAGGAAAGTAGCTATTGCAAGCCAGGAAAGGAGCCCTTACCACAAACCAAAACTCTGACACCTTGGTCTTGGGCTTCCCAGCTTCCAAACTGCGAGAAACACATTTTTGTTGTTTAAACCAACAGTATATATGTTATTGTTAACCGTCTGAACTAAGACCAACAGCTCCATACTGGCCCATGCACTATCAGCTGCTCTTAGAAGATGTCTCAATCCTGAACCCCACACCTAAATTGCAGATTGATGTGTCTATCCCTCCACCCTTGATACCTCTACTCATCCTCAAATACCTCATATCTTTAATATGCCCAAAAGAAACTTATGATGTTCCCAGTGAAAATTATTCCTATTAGTTACTTTATCATCCCAGGAGATGGAGCTTCTATACTCCAACTAATGAATGCAAAAATCTTTCAGTCATCCCCTTTTTCTCTCTCATTCGCAAAAGTAGAAAATCAGAGCAGACCTATACAAAATTATGAGCCAGAATGCAACCATTTCTACCACTTCCACAGCTACTACAATGGTTCACACCATCAAGACTCATCTGGGAGCCGGCGCCATGGCTCACTTGGTTAATCCTCTGCCTGCGGTGCCGGCATCCCATATGGCTGCCGGGTTCTAGACCCGGCTGCTCCTCTTCCAATCCAGCTCTCTGCTGTGGCCCAGGAAGGCAGTGGAGGATGGCACAAGTGCTTGGGCCCTGCACCCACATGGGAGACTGGGAAGAAGCACCTGGCTCCTGGCTTCAGATCGGAGCAGCTCCAGCCATGGTGGCCATTTGGGGAGTGAAGACCTTTCTGTCTTTCTCTCTCTCTCTCTCACTGTCTATAACTCTACCTGTCAAATAAATTTAAAAAAAAAAAGAAAGACTTTCTGGATTACTGCAGTAGTCTCCTCCCTCATCTTGCTGTCTCTTCACTCACAAAGGCTGTTCTCCACACTCAGGTGTAAAGAGCCTATGAGACCTGGGTCAGGCCACCTCCCTTCTCTGCGCCAAACCTCCCTTTGCCTCCATCATCTCCAGAACAGACATCGAATTCCTCATGAAGCCACTCTAGACCTGACTTTCATCCTTCTGCCCTCTGTCCTATTAGGAAAGGAGACTTGAAGTTCCCTGAAGCAACACAGCCTCACCTGGAACCACCTGCATACACATGTTCCTATTCCAGGAACAAACTTCTACAATCCATTCCATTGTTTGCTAATAGCAGGAACCACTCCATGGAACCCCCAAGTTGGATTCAGAATCCTGGGCCTAGGATCCATTCAGGGTCTCCAGGCCCAATGCCTGCAAGAGCGGCAAGAAAAGATTTTTGGTACAGCAGTCACAGAGATCACACGGATGGGAAGACCAGTAAGGTCTGGGACACACTTCATTCACTTTGTAGTGTCTGTAAGTGCTTCAGTGCCAGTGACAAAGCTGGGAAGTTCTGAGAGCCAGGCAACTATGGTGGGACTCCAGGGGACCCAGGGGCTCCTGGCTGCTCTCTGACCAAGCAGTGGAGTCGGGTAACCTGGGGTCATGGCCGTAACTCTGGGTCTCACTCTTTGTCATTGACTTTTTTTTTTTTTTTTGACAGGCAGAGTGGACAGTGAGAGAGAGAAAGGTCTTTCTTCTCTTTTGGTTCATTTCCCAATGGCCGCTGCAGCCGGTGCACCACACTGATCCGAAACCAGGAGCCAGGTGCTTCTCCTGGTCTTCCATGAAGGTGCAGGGCCCAAGCACTTGGGCCATCCTCCACTGCACTCCCGGGCCAGAGCAGAAAGCTGATCTGGAAGAGAAGGCAATTGGGACAGAATCCGGCTCCCCGAAGGGGACTAGAACCTATTAGCCTATTGAGCCATGGCACCGTCCTTGTCATTGACTTTCACCAGCTCTGTGACCTTGAAAATTGAGTAGAACAGTTTTGCTGCTATAAGCATTCTCTGTGCACTATTTATCCTTTTCCTTTCCCATCCTCCAACTCACAGCCCCTATTGTCTCACTATTGTCTTACTGTCTCCACAGTTTTTCCAGAAAGTCCTATGGTTGGGACCATACAGTATGTGGCTTTTTCAAATTGGTTTCTTCATTTAGTAATATGCATTTAAGTTTCCTTGATAGCCCATTGCTTGTTTATACTGAGTAATATTCCATTGTTTAAATGTGTCACATTTATTTATCCCTTTACTCACTGAAAGACATTGTTATTGCTTCTAAATTTTGGCAACGATGAACAAAGGTTCTTTAAGTACTCCTGTCCAGATTTCTGTGTGGGCATAAGTTTTCAATTTATTTAAATAAAACCAAGAGGCACTATTACTGGGTCTATGGTAATGGTTTTAGCATTCTTTGGTAATAGCTTGGCATTGTTGCAAATTTCAATTAGGTTGAGAAATCTACTTCTTCCCTCAAAGAGAACAAGCACCATGTGCTGCTTCTAATTGCTTTTCTATGAAGCATTAAGCTTCCAGACTCCAAGAATGGGATCCATCATATGCCATGGATGTTGGGATAGGTCATGACAATGGCTGGGCAAGAACCAACAAAGACATTTGCCATTGAAGCCACATGTAAGCCTCTACCAAACCATGACTTCTATGAGGAGGGTATCATATTATAAGATACAGAAAACAAAAAAAAAACATGATTTATTAGATTGTGTAGGTGTTCACTGAAGGGAAATAAGTGGAGACCACTCAAGTGAGAATAAGCAAAGCCTGTGTTTTCACAGATTACTAAAGAAAAGGAGTTAATCACCATCACTTGCATTTGTCTGAGAAGCAAAGGTAGGCAAGGAGGGATAAAACTTTATAATTGAAGCCAAGGGAAGGCTTTAGGAGTGACTTTTTTCTTTTTTTAAGATTTTATTTATTTATTTGAGAGGTTGAGTTACAGACAGTGAGAGGGAGAGACAGAGAGAAAGGTCCTCCATCTGCTAGTTCACTTCCCAAATGGCCGGAATGGCTGGAGCTGCACCGATCCAAAGCCCGGGAGCCCCAGGAGCCCTTTTTCCCTGTTCTCTCAAGGAAGATGCAGGGGGCCCCAAAACCCTTGGGCCATCCCTCCTATGGCTTTCCCCAGGGCCATAGCAGAGAGCTGGATTGGAAGAGGAGTAGCCATGACTAGAACCAGCACCCATATGGGATGCCAGCACTGCAGTCAGAGGATTAACCTACTGAGCCACAGCATCGGGCCCTTTAGGGGTGTCTTAATTGGCAGCCATTGGCATAACAAAGCTGGTATGATTGGTTATGGGAGCATATTTGGTTTTCTACAGTTGATTTGCAGGAAAAATTTAGGAAATCAGGCAGTTATTCAAAGTCCTGACCATTATGTCTCACAAGTAGCCTGATTTGCATATGCTTTACATATGCTAGCTGTGTCTCAAGTTTTTGGTTGCGCATATAGTACATGGGTGTATCCAGGGTGTGCTAAGGTGTGTCAATTTCATACCACATCGCACAAGGTTCTGGAGATATGTGTCTCCATGTTGTGCTTTTCTGCAACTACCAGAAACATACATTCCCATTCCATTTGGCATGTCTATAAACACAGTGTCATAAATCTTTTTGTGTTTCTAGACTGTGCTTCTAGACTGGGCTGTGGTGTGCCAACAAATTACAGTCATTGTACAAGTGTGTTGTGTTTATAGCTATTACCCTATGAATGGGTCAAAAGAAAAAACAATCAAACCACATAAGTGTGTCACTCTCATACACCTACACACAGAATCAGACTTCAATCAACTATTTCATTAATATCTAGTGAACAGTTACATAGAAAAAAGGTTAGCATGTTAAATGGCAGAAAGATGCAAAAAATGAAATCCAGAATGTAATAAATGCTGATGGACAAATTACTCAGCAAATTCAACCAACAAACAATAATAAAAAGTTGTCATATTTATGGAATAATAGACATGTACCAAACAAAAATTATAAATGACTTTTAGATTTTATTACAATGAATCTGTCTTTAAAAATCAATAATTTACGAATTTTTTTTTTACTCTTCTGGACACAGTTGAGAAAACTAAGCACTGACATATTTTATAGTTACATATACATATGGTTTAATTATATAAATATATATGTAGTTTGATAAAGGTATACAGATTATGAAAGAACTCTAATTGTGGCATTGAAAATCTATGGGGATTAGAAGTAAACCAGTTCAGTAATGTGTGAGGTGACAGTTTAACAAAGAAAAAGTATGGAACGATAAATAACTGTAATGAGTCCCTCATATTAAAAAGGTCTAGGTCAAGGGTGGGCTTTTAGTCTACTGCGTAAGACATGGACACCTATGTCCCATATCAAAGTCCCTGGATCAATAACTGGCTCTCACTCCAGCCTCCTGCCAATGTAGACCCGGGGAGGCAGCAGGATGGTTCAAGTCATTACATTCCTATCAGTCACATGGGAGACTGGAAGCCTACACCCTGTCATTTCAAGTAACCAAGGGTGCACTAGTGGTTGGAAGCTCTCTCTGTCTCTGCCTCTCAAATACATAAAAAACTTTTAGAGACCCAGCTCCACCTTGAAGGTATCCTTTCCCTTCCTCTGCTAGCAACAGAAAAACAAACTTTTTAGCTCTATTTTCATCACTGACCATTTGTAAGTTATTTTTTCCTTGAGTTATTTTTCTTTCCCTTCTCCTATGAAGTTTCTATTCCTGTTACCTGCAAGGTTTGTTTTGTTTTGTTTATAGAAAAAAAAAACCTGTTTTTCAAAAAGCAATTCACCACTTAGGACAATACAGACAACACCAAGTCAGCCAATGGATATTTATGTATAATTTTATGTATTATTTATGTATATTATTGACATATACATACTATGGCAATCATAAGAGCAGACCAACTGCATGTAAACAGGACAAAGGCATGAAAGAACATTAATTAAAATCCAAGCCACACAGCCCCATTTCCCCAGTTTCTGCTTCTCTATCTAGTGCTTGTATTTCTCTGAGCTAGATAGGCAGGCTATTTGGAGTGAGAGCTCTTACCTCCTTTGCCTATGCATGCAAATAAACTCCCTCCTTTTGTAAAAGACTGGTTTCTATGAGTCTGGCTTACATAGCACATCAGGTGATATTTTTTGTGCTCGTCTGACAACATAATAATGAAAGACTGGGGAAGGAATGGGTTCACAGGACTTCCTCACACAGTCCTTTCCGTTTGTGTATATACTGGAAAACATCCAGTAGAAAGGGTAGACCATATCCTTGGACTTATTTTATTAAGGATGGATTCAAAAGAACAAAGGGAAGGTTTTGGTTTCAGGACTTTAAGTGTATATCAAAAAAGAAATCATACAATTTAAATATGCACAATTTGGGGCCGGTGCTGTGGAGTACAGTATTAAGCTGCTGCCTGCAGTGCTGGCATCCCATATGGGCGCCAGTTCAAGTTCCAGCTGCTCCATTTCTGATCTAGCTCTCTGTTATGGCCTGAGAAAACAGTGGAGGATGGCCCAAGTCCTTGGGCCCCTGCACCCACGTGAGAGACCTGGAGGAAGCTCCTGGATCCTGGCTTTGGATTGGCCCAGCTCCAGCCACTGCAGCCATTTGGGAGTGAATGAGTGGATGGAAGACCTCTCTTTCTCTCTCTCTCTGCCTCTGCCTCTCTGTAACAATGGCTTTCAAATAAATAAATCTTTAAAAAAAATAAATAGCCGGCGCCGCGGCTCACTAGGCTAATCCTCTGCCTTGCGGCGCCGGCACACCGGGTTCTAGTCCTGGTCGGGGCGCCGGATTCTGTCCCGGTTGCCCCTCTTCCAGGCCAGCTCTCTGCTGTGGCCAGGGAGTGCAGTAGAGGATGGCCCAAGTACTTGGACCCTGCACCCCATGGGAGACCAGGATAAGTACCTGGCTCCTGCCATCGGATCAGCGTGGTGCGCCGGCCGCAGCGGCTGTTGGAGGGTGAACCAACAGCAAAGGTAGACCTTTCTCTCTGTCTCTCTCACTGTCCACTCTGCCTGTCAAAAAATTAAAAAAAAAAATAAAATAAATAACTGCACCTGATTAAAGCCATTTTAAAAAGCAAAAAAGCCTAACTAAGCCTCCACCTACAGCACCAGCATCCCATATGGGCACCAGTTTGTGTTCTGTCTGTTCCTCCTCCTATCCAGCTCTCTGCTTATGGCCTGCTTATGGCCCAAGTGCTTGGGCCCCTGTACCCGTGTGGGAGACCCAGAAGAAGCTCCTGGCTCCTGGCTTTAGCGCCAGTCATTGTGGCCATTTGAGGAGTAAACCAGCAAATGAAGATCTCCCACTCTGTGACTCTGCCTTTCAAATAAATACAATCTTAAAAAAAAAAAAAAGCAAAATATTCAAAGTTGTGATTTCCTTACCATTTTACTATATATATTTATATTATTATATATATTAATACACATATTAATATGTATTTTATATCTTTCTATATATGATCTTGAGATTCTATGTGGCTACTGTAACAGTATGGTGGAAATAAAAAGTAGTAGTTTGTACTACACATCTCTTCCTAACTCCACATCATCTTAGCACCTTGTTATTGGTCATATAGGAGTATTTTACCAAAGTAATTGACTAAACACTAGACAGACCAAAATACTAAAAACTAAGGCTTTCTTGTGTTATATGGCTAGGTTTAAGAGCCAGAGAATGTTAATAATGCAGACAGTGCTTTAAAGCATACAGTGTCTGTGGGTGTTACACTGTAAACAGACCAATATATTTTGATTTATCCAGACACGTTCAGCTTGGTGATGGAAACACTGGTTAAGATACTCACACATCAAACATCACAGTGCCTGCATTCAATTCCTGTCTCTGACTCCTGTCTCACAGCTTCCTGTAAGTGTAAATCCTGGAAGGCAGCATGTGATGGTTCACATGGTTGGATCCCACCACCCACATGGGAGGCCTGATTGAGTTCCTGGTTCTCAGCTTCAATCCAGCCTAATCCTGGCCATTGCATTCATTTGGGGAAAGAACCAATAGAAAGGAATGCTCTGTCTCTGCTTCTCAAACAAATATATAATATGTATATGAACATATAAAGTTTTATATATATATATATATTTCAGTGCTCAAAAACATTTTTCCATTTATCAAAGAGGCCCACCACATTACTACAGAATTGAAGTTTCAATATGTCTTTGTTATACATGTATTTCTATTTATTAAAACAGGAAAACATCACCAATTTCCCTTTAAAAATAAGTAAAAGACATTAATAACTTTTTTCAGAGGATAACAACACACGTAAAAATGCTATTATCAAACATGAGAAAAGTGCAATTAACCCCACTGAGAAAGTATTATACATCTAATAAAAGAGCTAAAATTAAAAAGACTATAACAAATATTGACAAGAACATGGAGGATAAGAATTCTCATACAGTGATGGTCAGAATACAAAGGGGTATAGCCTAGATCAGTTTGGCAGCTTTGTAAGTGAAACTTTCACATACTTTACTATTAATACAGACAGAAATATAACAAATATGCTCATTAAGAATTTTATGTCCATGTTCATAGTAGCTTTTATTTTAACAGCCTCAAACAGGAAACAACCTAACTACCCAATAAGAAATTAATAGTGACATATCCATAGAACTGAATGCTACTCAGAAATATTAACATAAGCAATACTGGTAAATTGCAAAATAATTATGCAGTATACAAAATGTCATAAAAGCATAAATATTTTATTATGTTATTCACAAGCTATACTCTTATGGATGAAAGTAAATTAGACACAGAAATGCAGGGAAATATTCCAACAGGGTATGAGGTAAATCAGATATTTGTGACAATATGATTTCATATAGTTAAAAGACAAAACTCTTCAAATTATACACAAACACATAGTTACATGTAACTTGTACATCAGTAAATTTTGTAGAAAGTAGTTTAAAAAAATCTAACTCCCAGTTTTTGAAAACCAGATCTTTCAGCCCTGTATTGATTCCAGTATCTCGTATATTCAGGGTGAAAGA